AGGAGGCAGCGCCCAAGCTGAGCCTAAAGAGCTTGTGTTGCCGTCCTGGCCTGAGACGAGTGGTGAGGCGGGCAGAACCAGGCTGGAGTTGGGGCTCTGGGGTGACGGGTGGGTTCTGGGGCTGGTGGTCCTGGGTCTGAGTCCCAGACTCTCCACTTGGCAGTGGCGGAAGCTTGCGCACGCGGCTGCCCTCTGAATCTTCGTTTCCTCCTCATCGCAGAGCCCGTTCCATTCCAGGAAGAGCCGGCGCACACCTGCACCCCTGGGGCAGCCCGAGCACACAAAGGGGCAGCCAGTGCTGCATACATGGCCAGCTGAGGGCACGCAAACCCGCTGACCTGAGTCCTTGGGATGATCAAGGAGGCCGGGTGGGAGCCCAGGGATGGATGTGGGCAGAGCGCAGTCCCGGCTCCCGCAGCGTTGGGGGAGCCCATCAAGCAGGCACAGGCGGACTGCCCCAGGTCCCACGAGCTATGCCTCATGTTGGGACTGCTTTGTCATGTTTGGAAAGTGTTCTTCACAGTCGCCGCCTTTGTAATCCGCACTGCACAGGACAGTGCACATCCCTTTCCTGCCCATACCCTGGAGAGTTGGTGTCCCTGGCTCAGGTGGGATGGGAAGCCCAGCTCCTGGGCTGCCCCCCACCCCTTCCCGACTCCAGCCCCTGTTGTCTCCATTTGGCATCAAGAATGCTCCCACCTTGGGGCATTGGCAATGGCTTTCTTCTACCCAGGGCATTGCCCCTCCCTGCTGGCCCACTCCCTCATTTCATTCAGGTCTTACTCAAGGGTCTCTTCTACAGAGAGACCTGCCCTGGCTACCTCTTCTGCAGCAGCCCCTCACACCCTCTGCTGTGCCCCAGTTTCTTCATGTGCTCATCACCATCTATACCCACATTTCTCCATGTGTGTGCAAACCGCTGGTCTCCCTCCCAGGAACATGAACCCCACGAGGGCAGGTCCTTGTGTGGTGTCCCTGTATTTTCCATGCCTGACACACAGTAGACATCAGGGTAGGGCAGCAGTTCCTATCAGAGAAACAGATCTGGGCTTCATGAACCAGGCCATGCCGTGTACATGGTGAGCTCTCTGTTCCGGGAGGCATGCAAGCAGAGTTGGGATTCTAGACCTCGTGCAGGTTGGATGGGCTGGAGGCTTCTGTAATGGTCATAGCTGGGCTCCTGCCTATTTGTGATATGGAGCCCTCCCAGGATTTCCACTGTGGCCTCAGAATAAACAGGTCAGAGGAGAGAGGGCTGACCCGAATCTGCCTTCAGAGGGAGGTTTGAAGGCAGCGCCAGGGAGGGAGGGGAGGTTCAGGTTTCCTGTTGGGTGCTGATAGAGTCAGGGCAGAGGAGGAGGAAGGAGTGTGCGAAGGAGGGGTGCAGGCTGGGTTTGGAGGCAGGGCAGGGTGGGGGGCTGGGGGAGACGGGCCCACTGAGGCCAGAGTCTGCTCCTTTCTCCCCTAGGTTCAAGTGAGCCACGGGTGCCTTTGACTCTGCCTTCCCGCCGGAGCCCATGCTCGGTTCGGGAGTCCCTGCCAGCCTTTTGGGCCTGCTGTCCCGGCTCCCAGAGGTGGGACTAGGTGAGGCAGGAAAGGAGCTTCCTTAAACTGTGTACCCTGGGTGCCTTTCCTGCCTCACCCTGGTCTCAGCCCTGTCAACTCAGTAAAAACAATCTCCATCAAATGGATATGGACTTTCAACTTGACCATGCCAGGTGTTGGGCAGCTCACCTCCTGACTTCCCAGTTCTAGACCATTCCAGCTGCTGCAGAGGGACCAGCCTTTGCTGGGACCATGCTGAGTGGTGGGTGCTTCAGGTACTTGTTCTCCTTGAATAGCCCTTCTGGAGACCAGGGATGGAGGCTCAAGAGGGGGGTTGACCTGCTCAGGATCACACAGCAAGTGAGGGATGGGGGCGGGGTGCCCCCTTGGCTGTATCTGGGGTGGGGTGGGGGACTAAGGGCTGGCTCTCAAATGTCCACCTCCAAGACTGAGCCCTGGTCCCGGCTGCTGCAGAGACCAGCCAGGGCTGGTCAGGCTGTGAGTTCAGGGGAGGGCTGGGCTCTCCCCAGGCCTGCCTGGTGCTGCACCCTAGCTCCACTGTGTCTTCCGCCCGCCCGAGGCCAGCCCGCCCCTCAGCTGCCTCCTGCCTCCTGCTGTCCTCAGGGTCTCTGTGTGACGCCCTCTTCCTGCTGCCTCCTCGTTCTGGGTGGGATGGAGGCAGAGCACAAAGATGTGAGACATGGAAACAGAGGCAAGAAAATGTGAAGAGAAGGATGGGGCGGGAAGATGAGGGGTGAGGCCAGGGCCTTTACCCGAGCTGTGTTCGGCTGCGTGTTTTGAGGTGACTGAGGATGTGAGCACCCACTGGCCGAGGAGCGAGGAAGGTGGAGGTGCTAGAGGAGAATTCTGTTGCCCTTGGCACCCCCTACAAGGCCATGGACCTGGAAAAAGGGGGAACTGGTTCTGTGTGAAGGAGATGAGGTCGAGTTGCCTCGTTTAGGCTCCTGGTGAGGGAGAGACACAGGGCCAGGAGGGCTCCAGCCCCGACACCATCTGCTGTCACCATGCCTGCCTGCCCTGGATTTGGCACCCCTCCAAGTTGGCAGGAGGGGGCGCTGGTGCTGTGGTTGGAGGCTGCATCCCACCTTGCTGGTGGTCGGTCTGGTCACCAAAGCCTGAGCTGGTAACCTGGGCGGCTGGCCAGGCTCTGTTCATCCGTGTGTTGAACTCTGACCTCACACAGAAGGGGAGTCAGGCCCAGGTACCCCCAGAGCCTGTCAGCCTCGGGCTGACACCCTGCCTTCCTCTCCTGTCCTAGGGTAGGCTGCCCCTTGGCTTCCCAGGACCCTACAGTGAATGAGTCAGGCTTTACCTGGACTGCTGGGGGGCTGAGACTCTGGGGGACAGGGAAGACGTCACTGACCTCACACACATACACCCCACCCCAATCCCAGGTCCGTCTGTGAAGGGGCATCTGTGCTGGGTGTCAGGAGGCTCCAGTATTATCTGGAGGTGTATTTGGGGTAGGGGTTCCTCTTCTCACTCTGGGCCTCAGTTTCTCGGCAGTGACCTGCCATCACATGTTCCTGGGGTGGGAGGGGGCCCCGGGCTGCAGCCGCCGCGGGCAGGGGCGGGCCCGCACCCTGGGCCTTAGTTCAGCGCGTCTGTGGGCACAGCTCCTTTGCTGCTTCCTGGCCATTTCCCGGAGGGCCCCCCCGAGGCTGGGCGGCGGGCACCTGCCCGGGGCCCAGCGCCCCGGCTCTAACGCAGAGCGCGGGGGTTGCTCGTCCTGCCCGGTCCTGCCAGCCCGCGCCCGCCCCGGGCACCTATCGGAGTCGGTGCCGGGGTGACCGCCAGTAACCCGGGCGGGTGTCGGCGCCGAGCAGGTTAAAGGCGGGTGCCCGAGGGTAACCCCGGCCCCATCCGAGTCGCGGGGTGAAACCCGAATCTGCGCCGCGGGCGGGGCGGGCCGGGGCGGGGCCCGAGCGAGGCGGCGGCGCGGCCGCTGATTGGCCGCGCGCGCTCACCCCATGCCCGGCCCGCGGCGGGGGAGGGCGGGGCGGGGCGGGCCGCGGGGCCCCCGGCTTTAAAGGCCCGGGCGCGCGCGCGGGCCAGTCGGCCGGAGACCCGCGGGCCAGCTGCCGGGACCCCCGAGGGGGCGGCGGGCCGCGCAGCCATGGATTGCACTTTCGAAGGTACTTTCGGAGGACCCCGCCCCTTCATTACCGAGCCTCCGTCTCCGCTGCGGGCCCACGCACCCCGCTTCCTTGGTGGGGGGAGAGCGGCTGCCAGACTGCGAGCAGGCTCCAGAGGGCGGCGGACCCCCCCTCAGCCTGTCGTCCACCCCGCCTGGCGTCTGGGGTGAGAAGGCGGCTTTGCACGCTCTGCTCCCCGCTGGGCGGAGGGGCGAGAAGCCGGAGGAGGGGGAGCCCTGGACTGCCCAAATCTGGAAGCCCAGCCCTGCGCTGTTTCCCTCCAGACCTCAGTTTGCCCGTCTGCCACTGAGGCTCAGTGGGGACCGGGATGAGGGATGGGGGTCCTGCCAGGGGAAGTCCCTGGTGTCCCTGATACACCTGGGGGCCCACAAATGTTTGAGGACCCAGAAGGCTGAGCCTGGCGCCCCCACCTTGCTCTGTTGGGGGCCATAGGGAGTCCTGTATAACTCCTGCCAGGGCACCCATCAGTAGGAAGGAGCTGGGGTATCAAGCACCCAGTCTGTGCCATCTGCCTGCCTGCAAAGCCTCTTAGCCCTGCCCCAGGGTTTTATCTCCGTGGTTCATGTGAGGGGTGAGGAAACGGAGACCCAGTGAGAGGGGGCCATTGGCCCCAGCCCCCCTCCGTGTGGACAGGGCCCCAGAGCTCAGGCTGCGGATTTTGGAGCTCCCAGGATTGTGTTCATGGATCCTGCAGGGTACTTTGACCCAGTGGGTAGCTGCCCACAGTGGGTTAGAGGGCCCTAGGCTGACCCAGCAAAGCTGCTTGTCACCAGCTGGGGGAGAGGGCCTGTGGCTGGCTGGGGTGTGTCCCAGTGTGTGCAAGAAGGCAGGAGTCCAGACAGACAACACTCACCTTATAGAAGGGGAGCCGAAGCCCTGGATGGCCAGGTCCCGAGATGCCTGGGTGTAGACAGTTTGGGCTCATGCCCAGAGCATGCAGACATACTTGGCACACACATGGCCCGCAGCCGACTCTGCCCCCAGCCTCGGTCTGCTCCACGGAGTAATGGTTGGTGACAGCAGCTCCGAAGTCTGGTCTTGTGCCCGAGCTCCAGCTCTGCCTCCACCTTGTGGGGCCTTAGCCACACATGGCACTGACCTCATCCACGTGTTGCAAGGGCCCAGGTGTTGCTTCCTGATGTCACAGGTGCCCGAGCAGTGGCTCATGTGGGTGGGGTGGCCCATGCTCAGCCATGTGGACAGGGGCATAGTGTGCGGTGCCCTTTGCAGGGCCAGCCCAGCTGCAGTGTTGCTCACAGCCCTTTTTCCTTCCCCCAGACATGCTTCAGCTCATCAACAACCAAGACAGTGACTTTCCAAGCCTGTTCGACCCACCCTATGCTGGGGGTGGGGCAGGGGGTGCCGACCCCACAAATCCTGAAGCCAGCTCCCCAGGCAGCTTGTCTCCACCTCATGCCACTGCGAGCTCCCCACTCGAAGTCTTTCTGGAGGGGCACAAGGCAATACCACCACTGTTGCCCCCTCCCCAACCTGCACCCACATTGAAGATGCACCCATCTGTGCCTGCCTTCTCCCCCACGCCTGACATCAAGGAGGAGCCAGTGCCGCTGACCATCCTGCAGCCCCCCACCCCACAGCCTCTGCCAGGGGCCCTGCTGCCCCAGAGCTGTCCAGCCCCAGCCCCACTCCAGCTCAGCTCTGCCCCTGTGTTGGGCTATCCCAGCCCTCCCGGGGGCTTTTCCACAGGTAAGGGGGCGTGTGGAGGGAGGGGCCGCAGCAGCACCGGGAGGGTCTGTTGTTGGCTTTGTACTGGAATCTGCAGGCTTTAGATGTCCGTCCTGGGAGCAGCGCTCTGTCCTTGTTGGGCTGATAAGTGCTGCCTCCCACTCTGCAGCCTTTCCAAAGACACCCCTGGCCGGAAAGCTGGGACAGTCACGGCAGAGCCCCAGGCAGGGAATGTCGAGATGGGAAACTGAGGTCGCAAGGGTGATGACTCATCCAAGGTCACACCGTGATAGGAACCTGAGAGCAGGCTGAAAGTGGGTTAGGGCAGCTTGTGCCCACAGCCAGACTTCGTCTCTGCAGACACCTCTCCAGGGAGCACCCCACAGCCACTGCCTGGCCCGCCAGGGGCCCCGCCCATCTCCTTGCACACCCAGGTTCAGAGTGCAGCCCCCCAGCAACTGTTCACAGCCACCGCCACTGCCACCATGGCCCCTGGAACAACCACTGTGACCTCGCAGATCCAGCAGGTCCCGGTAAGGGGGTTGGCCAAGCCTGGGGAGTTGGCAACTCCTGGCCCAGACATAGCTCATGACTGAGACCACCCTCCTCCCAGGTCCTGCTGCAGCCCCACTTCATCAAAGCAGACTCTTTGCTGTTGACAACCATGAAAACAGACACGGGCTCCCCTGTGAAGGCGGCGGGCCTTGGCTCCCTGGCCCCTGGCACAGCTGTGCAGACCGGGCCCTTGCAGGTGGGTGGCATGGGCAGGGCAGAAGGGTGTTGGGTCTGCACACACGCATGCCCGCCTGGTAACCCATGCCTGGCTCTGCAGACCCTGGTGAGTGGTGGGACCATCCTGGCGACAGTGCCGCTCGTAGTGGACACTGACAAGCTGCCCATCAATCGACTGGTGGCCAGTGGGAAGGCCCCGGGTTCGGCCCAGAGCCGCGGCGAGAAGCGCACAGCCCACAATGCCATTGAGAAGCGCTACCGCTCCTCCATCAATGACAAGATCATCGAGCTCAAGGACCTGGTGGTGGGCACTGAAGCGAAGGTATGAGCAGAGGCCCGTGCAGGCTCAGAGTGGGCTGACGGGGAGGGCAACTGGAAGGACAAGGGTTTGCCTCAGGCCTGGCTAGCTTCACGGAGGGCCCCGGCGCGCCAGGGACTTGTCTAAGCACTGGGGCTGAGGAAGTGAGCAGCCAGACAGAAGCCCTGTCGAGGAACTGTAGTGCCAGGTGGGGGTGGCAAACAGAGAAGTAACGGGTAGAGTACGCCAGATAGTTTTGAATTCGATGGAAGAAAACAAAGCGGGAAGAGGGATGGTGAGTGGCCAGTCTGGGTCAGGTGGTCGGGAAAGGCCTTGTAAAGCGACGTGATATGTAGCAAAGACTTGAAGGAGGTGAGAGAGTGAGACACGAAGACGATAATAGACAGACATTACTGTATGCACTTAACATATTAATCTTTATGCCCGTCCTGTGAGGGAGGATGTACTAGGGGAGAAACATTCTATGTAGAAGGAACAGCAAGTGCAAAGGTCCTGAGGCAGCTGTCTCTCAAAGCAGCCCCACCCTAACCCCTTGCTTAGGTGCCTGCTTGCCAGGCCTGACTGGCCACCTTGTGCCTTCTCCCTCCTACCCCCTGCAGCTGAATAAATCTGCCGTCTTGCGCAAGGCCATTGACTACATTCACTTTCTACAACAGAGCAACCAGAAACTCAAGCAGGAGAATTTGGGTCTGCGCACTGCTGCCCACAAAAGCAGTGAGTTCTGGCCTCCCACGGCCCCGGCGCCTCCAGCCTTGGTCTCACCTGAAGCTCTGACCCTACAAGGGCTCTTAGCTTCACTTTTTTTCCCCGTAAATTAGCTCTCAGAAGCTAGGCCAACTTCCAGCCCTAAGTTGACTTGGGTGGGGTGGGCTCTCTAGCCTTAACCTCCAACCCTGCTTCTTTCTGCCTGTAGAGTCTCTGAAGGACCTGGGGCCAGCTTGTGGCAGTGGAGGGAACTCCGACGTGCCCATGGAGGGCATAAAGCCTGAGGTGGACACGCTGAGCCCCCCCCCCTCGGACGCAGGCTCGCCCTCACAGAGCAGCCCCTTGTCCCTGGGCAGCAAGACCAGCAGCAGTGACTCAGAGCCTGACAGCCCAGCCCTCGAGGACAGCCAGGTTGGGCCTGCAGCATGGTCCCTTCCTGTCTCCCAGCGATACCCTCCGAACCCTAGGCCTGGGTCGGGAAGAAGCCCCTAACGTATCCCACCTCCTGTTTTATAGACAAAACCTGAGGCCTGGGGCCAGTGGGGTCCCATAGAAAGGGGGGGAGAGCGCTGGCCCCGCCCTCCCCAAGCGGACTCTCAGGACCACCCCGCCCTGTCCTCCAGGTGTGCTCCCCGCCCACTCGGGGCCTGCTGGACCGCTCCCGCCTGGCCCTGTGCACACTCCTCTTCCTCTGTCTCTCCTGCAACCCTCTGGCCTCCCTGCTGGGCGGCTGCGGTCTCCCTGGCCCCTCGGATGCCACCAGTGTCCACCCGGGTGCTGGGCGCACCGTGCTGGGCACTGAGGACAGAGGTAGGACAGGCCAGCATGGGTTTCTTTGGCAGAGAGGTAGGAGGGGGCTCGGGGGTGTAGACCCTAGGCCTGTGGGCTTGGGCTCTGCATTTCCGGGAACCGTGTCCCCAGCCTTCTGTCTGCCCCCAGATGGCCCTGGCTGGGCCCCGAGGCTGCTGCCCGCACTGGTCTGGCTGGCGAACGGGCTGCTGGTGCTGGCCTCCTTGGCACTCCTCCTCGTCTGCGGGGAGCCGGTCACTCGGCCCCACTCGGGCCCCGCCGTGCGCTTCTGGAGGCACCGCAAGCAGGCCGACCTGGACCTGGCCAGGGTGAGGGCTGTCCCGGGGGCGGGGCAGGGAGAGCCCTGGGCGCAGGGGAAGGTGCTGGCCCCGCCCTCTGGGCGCACCGGGAACCTGTCCTCTGCACTCCTGCAGCGCTCAGCCTCCCACCGAGCCCCGGCCCAGCTTCACGCTGAGGGGCCCTGGGTCGTAGCAGGGAGCCCCAGCTGGAGGGCGTCATGTCCTCAGGATGCTCGGACCCTGCTTCACCCGGAAACCCTCATCCACAGGGGGCCTTTGCCCAGGCTGCCCAGCAGCTGTGGCTGGCCCTTCAGGCACTGGGCCGGCCCCTGCCCACCTCCCACCTGGACCTGGCCTGCAGCCTGCTCTGGAACCTCATCCGCCACCTGCTGCAACGCCTCTGGGTGGGCCGTTGGCTGGCAGGCCGGGCTGGGGGCCTGCAAGCAGATGCCCGCACCAGTGCCCGGGACGCGGCCCTGGTCTACCACAAGCTGCACCAGCTTCACGCCACGGGTATGGTGGGCAGGGGGCTGGCCTGTGGAATTTCGGCCACCTCTGCCCCATACCTGACCTCGTGCCGTCTCCTCCAGGGAAGTACACAGGCGGGCACCTCGCTGGGGCCAACCTGGCGCTGAGTGCACTGAACCTGGCAGAATGTGCGGGGGACACCATGTCTGTGGCCACTCTGGCTGAGATCTACGTGGCGGCCGCGCTGACCGTCAAGACCAGTCTCCCGCGGGCCTTGCACTTCCTGACAGTGAGTGGCGGCAAGCTGGTGGGGACGGCTGAGGCGTGTCTGCAGCTCCGCCCTAGGGCACGGGGCACAGGGCCACACACAGGGTGGGCTCCGGGCCCAGCTGGTGTCTCAGCCTGGGGCCTGGGGCCGAGCCCCTACCCCGTGTGACAGCCCTCCTCCCTCACCCACAGCGCTTCTTCCTGAGTAGCGCCCGCCAGGTCTGCCTGTCACAGAGGGGCTCAGCGCCCCCGGCCCTGCAGTGGCTCTGCCACCCTGCGGGCCACTGCTTCTTCATGGATGGGGACTGGGCTGTGCGCGGTCCCCCACGGGAGAGCCTGTACAGCTCGGCCACGGACCCAGGTGCTCTGTCCCCGCTGCCCACCCCACCCTCCCCTGTCCCGTCCTCCCTGTGCTCCATCCCGTGTCTCATCCTCACTCCTGCCCTGTCCCTGTCCCTGCCCACCCTCCCCCGTCCCGTCCTCCCTGTGCTCCATCCCGTGTCTCATCCTCACTCCTGCCCTGTCCCTGTCCCTGCATCTCTGGATGTCCCTGCCCACCCCCACCAGTTGCCTGGCCATCTGTCGTTGCTCTCAGGGCTGGGTCTAGTCTCAATTAGACCTCTCCAGAAGCAAATGGGGACAGAGTAGGGGCAGGTGGTTGATTTGGGAGGTGGTCCCAGGCAACATCCTGTGTAGTGAGGAGGTCGGACTGGGGGACGACTGAGCTGATGGGGGTGCGTCAGGGAGCAGGTCACATTGGCCGAAGGGATTGTCCCATCCAAGGGCAGGGGCAAGGGTTTTATCCAGCGACGTGCATGTGCCCAGGAAAGAACTGGTGTGGAGGGGACCGCAGAGGGCAGGAGTTCCCCACTCACTCCCTCCTCTCCACAGTGGACCCCTTGGCCCAGGTGACACAGCTGTTCCGAGAACATCTCTTGGAGCGGGCACTGAACTGTATGGCCCAGCCCAGCCCCAACCCTGCGTCAGCTGACAGGGACCGGTGAGTGTCCCCATGCCCACGTGAGGCCAGAGCCCTCCGCCGGGCATCTGGGAGTGGCTGTGTCCAGCGACTTGTGGAAGTGGCCAGAACCAGGTGACTGTCCACTTGCCCTCAGCTCCTCTCTGGGTCTGTTTCCCCCTCAGCCTGGCAGGAGGAGGTGGTGCCCCTCTGTAGAGCCAGGAAGTCAGGCTGTGCTCTGGTGGGAGGGTGAGAAGGGCCAGTGCCCTCCCAGACGCCAGGAACCCTGCCACCTGTCCTAACAGCTCGTCTCCTTCCACAGGGAATTCTCAGATGCCCTCGGGCACCTCCAGCTGCTGAACAGCTGTTGTGACGCTGCTGGGACTCCAGCCTGCAGCTTCCCCAACAGTCCCAGCACGGCCACCCCCGGTAAGTCCCTGGCCCTGCCCTGTGACCGCCCGCCCAGCCCCTGCTCCTCAGCAGCCCAGCCCAGGTGCAGTGTGGCTGTTTCAGGGAGCACGCCATCCGTCCCGCTCCCTGCAGGCACAGACCCGGTCGCCAAGTGGTGGGCCTCGCTGGTGGCGGTGGTGACCCACTGGCTGCAGCGGGATGAGGAGGCCGCTGAGCGGCTGTACCCCCTGGTGGAGCGTCTGCCGCGGGCCCTGCAGGAGTCCGAGTGAGTGTGGGACTCTCGGCCCCGCTCTGTGTGCTGGGACCCCCCATCTGCCAGGGAGCTGGCGCCACGGCAGTGGGAGCTCGGCGAGGGCCTGACCAGCACTCCTCTGCCCTGGCCCCACAGGAGACCGTTGCCCAGGGCAGCTCTGCACTCCTTCAAGGCGGCCCGGGCCCTGCTGGGCCGTGGGAAGGCAGGGTCCGGCCCAGCCAGCCTGGCCGTCTGTGAGAAGGCCAGTGAGTGTCTGCAGGACAGCCTGGCTACCACTTCGCCTGGCAGCTCCATTGACAAGGTGAGGGGTGCCAGGGGTCCAGCAGGTCAGTGGGGTCACAGCCTTGGCATGCCCTGGTAGGTCCCCCCTGGGCTGCAGAAGACTCTGGGATTAGCCCGACAGTACGGGCCTGGGGGCAGCTGGCTCTGCTCTCTGGCTAAGGCTTGGGGCAGGGGTGAGGGGTTACCCCTTTAGCCTCAGATTCCCTCCCTGAGGTGGGTGCGGTGAGGGGCAGGGCCCTCCTAGGAGGCTCCCCTGGCAGGGGTGGGGCCTGGAGAGGCGGGCGGTCCCGAGGTGCATTGCTGTTGCATTGCATGTGTGTGAGGGGTGCAGTGCTTCGGCAGTGCAGCCCGGAGCCGGCCCCTGGCGCCGCAGGCCCCGCCCCCAGAGCCGGAGCCCCCGTGACCCCTGCTCTGCCCACCCCAGGCCATGCAGTTGCTCCTGTGTGACCTGCTCCTTGTGGCACGCACCAGCCTGTGGCTCAGGCAGCAGCCGTCTGCACCCTCCCAGGCCTCGCAGGGTCCGGGCAGCGGGGCCCAGGCCTCTGCCCTGGAGCTGCGTGGCTTCCAGCGGGATCTGAGCGGCCTGAGGCGCCTGGCGCAGAGCTTCCCGCCAGCCATGCGGAGGGTGAGTGCCCACGGCCCCCGCCTCACAGCCGGCGTGGGGGGACAGCGCCTGGCCTGAACCCTGACCGGCCGGGCCCCCTCCCGCCCAGGTGTTCCTCCATGAGGCCACAGCCCGGCTGATGGCCGGGGCCAGCCCCGCGCGCACGCAGCAGCTCCTGGGCCGCAGCCTGAGGAAGAGGCCAGGCTCCTGCGGCAGAGGAGGTGAGCGGGGCGGGACGCGTGGGGGTGACCGACCCAGACGGGGCCTGCAGGGGTTCCCAGAAACCCAGAGGCGACCTTCCTTTGCGGGATGGAGATTGTTCTGTGCCGGCCTGAGCGCGGCGGGGAGCACTGCGCCCCGGGCGGAGTGGGAGGGCAGCGGCGGGGCCGCGGCGCGCTCCTGACGCGGGCGTGTGTGGGCGGCAGGCACGCGGGAGCTGGAGCCGCGCCCCACGCGGCGGGAGCACGGCGAGGCCCTGCTGCTGGCCTCCTGCTGCCTGCCGCCGTGCTTCCTGCCGGTGCCCGGGCAGCGCCTGGGCATGCTGGCCGAGGCGGAGCGCATGCTCGAGAAGCTGGGAGACCGCCGGCTGCTGCACGACTGCCAGCAGCTGCTCCTGCGCCTGGGCGGCGGGACCACCGTCACCTCCAGCTAGGCCGGCCCCGCGGCTGTCCGCCAGCCTCGCATGACCAAGGCAGCGCCGGAGACCCCGGTGCCCACGGCTCACCCAGGGACTGCACTGCACCGGCAGGGGCTGGGGGTGGAAATGAGAGCTCCTTGGGGCTTCTGCCTCTTGACCTGGGAGGCCCGAGGGGGTACGACCCCCTCCCCCCAGCTCCCCAACCCTACGAAAGGCGGGCAGGGTGGTGCTGACCTCTGGTGGCCGATTGGGGGATTGCAGGAGCCCATCGGTCTGCTCCTGCAGGCACGCAGAGGTTTTTCCCTCTTCTAGAGGGAAGATAGGGGTACGGGCCCCTCAGCGGAGGGGGGCCAACTTGGCTTTCCTGGCGAGCAAGGGGTCCTGCCCCCGGGCTCCTCTTCCCTTCTGGAAAGATCTGTGCACAGTGTAGACCGGGTGCGTCGGCCTCCTGGCTCAAGTGTTACTTTGCTATTTGCAAACTATTTTCATAGGTTGAGAGTTTTATACAGAGAATAAAAAATGAAATTATTTATAATCTGGGTTTTGTTTCTTGGGGGAGGGTATGTGCTTCAGCTGATGTACTTGCCAACCAGAAGGGGTCCTTTGGGTCTCCCCACAGCACCCCGGCAAAGGCTGCCCTACACCCCTCCCCATGAGGGACTCGAGTCCCCCTTTGACGTCCTGGGAGGCCTGGGGGTTGATGACCTCCAGCTGACCTGGATCCCACTGATTTCTGGGCCGGGTGTTTGGGCCCTTATGATCGCAGCTGTCTTCGCACCTGCCAGCTCCTACCTGCCCACTCCCAGGGCGGCCTGGGGGACAACTCCATGTCCTTGATCTGTTGACGAGAGCTACACTGTCTGGGGTGTCCGTGCCACCTTTCCCACCCCGTCCTCTGGTCACCCGTCACACCTGAGGGAGCCTTCCACGCCCCCTGCCCCGAGGCTGCACGGGGGAGGGGCGTGCATTTTGCAGCAGGGCCTTGATTCCTGTTCCTGCAGAAACAGCCAGAATCTGACCACGTGCCCTGCGCTGTCCGGTCCACGTCCACCCCACACCCAAAGCCTGGCCCCTCTTCCCAGCAGAATCTGGTCGGAATGCACGGGCTGCAGACTTCCAAAACAATCGTATCTTTATTGACTTTTTTTCTGAATGCAATGACTGTTTTTTACTCTTAAGGAAAATAAACATCTTTTAGAAACAGCTCGATACACACAATCTTCAGTGTGAAGCAATATACTAATAAGAACACTAGTCTTAACATTTACAGTCTTCATATATATTATATATATGTATATGTATACATATATATACACTATATAACGAGGCCAGATATAATACACACGGTTACCATTTTACAGTCCTATGTACAGGAAGTTGCTAGGGCGCCCGGTCTGGGGCTGCCTCAGGCCTATCAAAGCGCGGACAGAGCTGAGGGCGGAGGGGCTGGCGGAGGGCGGGCCTGGGCTGGTGGTGGCTGCTGGGGAAGGCTGTCCGGTGGTGGTCCCCTTTCAGGCGAGGGCCCTGTGCTGGGGAGAGCACGGCGGACGGCAGCGACACGGGAGAAGCGAGCATGTTCCCGACATATATACATTCTATGCAACATATATATAGAGGGGTACACAGGCTTGTACACAGATCGGGTGCGGTCTCTGCTCCAGCCGAGGAGGGGCTGGGTCCCTGGAGAAGGTGGCTGTGCGGAGGGACGGTCACTGCAGGTGCTGTTCTCGGGCAGCTCCGTGCGCTCCCAGGCCAGCTCCAGGGTGGGGTGCAGGATGGGAAAAGGGAAGAACAGAAGCAAAAGGGGTACCCCCCAGTCCAGCTTATACCCAGGGATCCTACATCCCTGGCTCTGTCCAGACTGCATGAGGGGTTGGCAGATGCTGGGTGGCAAGGGCCCTGGGGTTCCAAAGGCTCAGCCCTCTCCCCTCTCAGCCTGGCCCTCTCCAGAAAGGCTTCGGCTCCAGCCCCCCACCCCCCACCTCCTTCCAGGAGCCACCCTGTCACTTCCAGGGCCCTCTGGACCCCCACCCCCAGGGCACCCGGCAGCACCCACGGGGAACGTGTGCCACACTGACTCGGAACTTCCAGTGGAGAAGCCAGTTCCCAGGCTCAAGGCATGTGCCACCCCTGCTGGAACCCGGTGCCCCAAGGAGTTGGGCTGCTCGGCAGGCTCCCTCTGCGAGCCTGGCGCGGGTGTGGGCAGGCCCCGGCGTGGCGGCGGGAGCAGGCAGCTCCAGGACGTTTCCTTCCCCAGCAGGGACGCGCGGTCGGGCCCAGGCGGCCAGATCCAAGGTGGGGACAGATCATGGACCAGTTCTGGGAGCATCCGAAAGGCCTGGGGCTGCTCAGGGGGCCCCTCCTTCTGCAGGAGGGCAGGCGCCGGCTCTCCCAGCCCTTGGGGTGTGTTACAACGGCTGCCTCTGCAGGGGAAGAGTACACGGCCCCCCTGGTTACTGGCCCCCGAACCAGGCAAGGGGCTAGCGCCCCCGAGACCCACCCACCCACAGCAGGCTCCCGGGGAGCGGGGCTGGGTCCCTCCGCCAGGCGGCTGGCCCCACGCAGGCTTTCCTTCCTTCCAGCCCTCACCCGGCCGTGTCCAGTCCCCTGCCAGTCCTCCCTTCGCATCCCACCTGGAGTGGCTCCCAGGACCCACCAGGTCTGTGAGCAGTCCTCAGGACCAGAGGGGCCAGCCTGCCCAGGCACCGCTGCCTCAGGGTCAGGAAGGCTGGAGCAGTCTGGTGGCCCTGAGCAGAGGGGCTGGTGCCCTGGGAATGGGGGAAGGAGAGCTCTCTCCACTGGGTCCCAAGGGAACAAGGAAAGGAAGGGGCCCCCTCCAGGCTAGACCCCTTCCCGGGAAGGCCTGTGTCACCTACCTTATGCTTGGGGCATTTCAAAGAAAAGTTATCTTCGGTGAATACGCAACCTGTGGTGAAGACAAGTGCGTGTGGTCAGGGCAGCTGGCGGTGTCTGTGGGGCCGGGAAGGGGCCCTGCTGCCCACAAGGCCCTACACTGCGGGTTCTTCGCAGAGAGGCAGCCGGATGCTGTCCGCACTCCTCCCAGCCCGAACTCGGAGCGTGGGCCCTGGCCGCCTGCTCACGCGTCCTCTGGCCCACCTGGCCGCTGGGCTCGGGGTTATTCTGAGGGCCTCCCGGGGCCCCCCAGCTGTACAGATCCCGCCCTCAGCCCCCACACTGCGCCTGGCCACGCTTGTCACGACTGCCTGGTGACCCACCACCTGACCGGGCCCCTGCGCGCCCACGGCAGTCTCAGCCCACTTCGGCCTGCTGCCGGCCAGGGGACCTGGCCCTCCCCTGGAATCCCCACCCACCACTCCTGGTGAGCCTGGTCCTGGGCTCATTCCCCTCCCTGCCATGCCCACCTGGCACTGTTCAGAACAACCCCCCCCAAACCCACAGGTAACCAGAGGCCCAAGCTGGCCAGTGAGAGTCCCCTGCCATGCGTGGCCAGCTGTGGCGGCTCTGGGCCGTGGCTGTGGCACTGTGGCAGCATGGTGGCAGAGTGGGGCCGTGGGGGCAAGCCTGCTGCCATCTCTTGGCCTGCTGGGATCACACGCTGCTTGGAGTGAGGGGGAGCTTTGCAAGGGAGCAAATGCTCCAGATCTCTGGATGCAGTCCCATTTATTTGCAGATTGGTACCCCCAGGTCACAAGTGGATCTAAGTAAATTATTTCTTTGAGATGGCATTACTGCAAACATACACCCTAGCTTTGTCTCTTGCTTTTTATGGAAAGAGACCTTGAAGCCAAAAGATAACAAACCCTTACTCACATGCAAATGAAGCACCCAATGCACATGAGTGGGCCAGGTCCGCGCCCCCTCCCCCCCCCGCCCCGGGCTAGGATTCCAAGAATGCATTAACACAAGGTTGAGAGTGCTTAACACAAGGTTACAAAATATCCATCTTCCAACCCCCAACCCCACACCTGCAGCCTTGAGAGCAGGCTGGGAGCCCCAGGCCTCTTTGAGGCGGTGTCCCTTCTCCACCACCCTGCGGGACCTCAGGCCCCAGAGCTCCTGAACTGCAGGCCCAGCAACTAGAGGCAGGTTCTCAGCTCCCCTTCCCTGAGCTCAGGCCAGCAGGACATGCTTCTGGGATTAAAGTCACACTTTCCAAAGAGCACAGGCTAACACCCCAGGCTGGCCCACCGCACACACAGGACACCCCCACCACCACACACAGACCACCTGCCAAAGCCCTACAGTCAAAAGCCTGAGCTGGCTGCTCAGAGTCCACACAGGTGGGGTGGGAGCCACGGAGAGGAGCCCAGTCCTCGGTGCCGGGCCCCACTGTGGTGTCTGTCCAGGAGACCTGGGCCTAGCTGAGTGTGGGGAGGCAGCCACAGTGTGCATCCCTGCCAGTCCCTGGAAATCACTGCCTAGCTCCGCGGCGGTGCCTCTCGAGACAATGGGGGCAGGACAGGCAGGCAGTCCTGGGCCCTGTCTCTGAGAGCCTGACCCAGACCCTGGACAGCCCCATATACCCCCACCTGGCAGACAAGGGTGGGGGCGGGGAGGGGTCAGGTGCTGACACAGGCCTGGGGCTCATGCCCGCCCAGCTCACTCCCTCCACCTTCCGTGGCTCCTGAAGCCCATTTTCCCTTACCTCCTGCTGGCTACCAGGCTTACTTCTCCCATGGGTGCCCGGGCTCCACCTCTCCCTCCTCTGCCAACTATTAAATGTGGTGCCTAACCCTCCACACGGTCCCCTCCTGTGTCTGCAGACACCTCAGATGCAGCCTGCCCAAAAGAAGCTGCCATGTGTGGGGGATGGGCTGCCAAAACAGCTGAAAGACCTCCGGGGTACTGTCCTCTCAGGGTGGCTCTGCGGCCCCTCCCGTCGGGGTGCACATCCCCCACCCCGTGAGTGCGGGCTGGACTGGGACCAGCTTCGGCCAGCAGAGCGCAGTGACAGGGACCGTGTGGTCCCACGCAGAGGCTCAGCTGGGGCCAGGTTGGGGCGCCCCCGCTGACCAGGGCCACCGGGGTGAAGCCAGCAGAAAAGCCCGCCTGCTGACTCCCGCCCGCCCGAGAAGTGCTGAAGGGTTGGCGTTGAAGCAACGAGTGCTCGGGAGGGCCAGGAGCTGGGCAACAGCCTCAGACCTGCCCTCGCGCGGGACGCCAGGCTGACCACCCTGGTCTCTGGGACACGGGCGGTCGGCCCCCGAACCCTCCTCTCCTGCTGGAGGATGGACTGTCCACCAGTTCTCTCCCAAAGTCTGATCGTGTCAGGATCTCAGCTTCCCAGCCTCAGGCCCCTTCGTGTCGCAGTCCCAGGGTTCCACAGAGATCCCCCTTTTATTGAACTCTGCTGAAGACTTCATTGGACACAAAGTTGCTGCCCACCTGGAACATAACCAGCATCACTAACCAGTGGCTGCCCACCTCCCCTGACCTTTCCCAGCATGGCTCAAATGTTGCCTCCTCTTGGAAGTCCTCCTGGATTCCCTCCCAGCTCAGAGAGAATCTTTCCCACAGCACACTCTCCTCGCCTCTGCAATTCCGGGCAAGGGCCCCGGGTTCCTGTCTGTCCCACTCAGTGTGAGCTCCCCAGTGGGCTGCACAGTCCTGGGTGGAGACAGCGCAAGGTGTGGAGACAAAGGGTCACGCCTCTGTGCGTCTGTGCTACACTCTGCAGCCATGGGTAAGGGGACGTGTCTATACGGTGCCGCTGGACAGGGCAGGGCCGGACGTGGGGCCTGGCATAGAAACAGGGCAGAAGGGGCGGGACACTCAGGAGCTACTGCTGTGAGGCAGAGTCCAGTTAAAATCTGCCCCATGCTGCTCGGAGTGGGAGTCGGGAGTCAGCGAGAAGTGTCCCCTCCAGCCAGCTCCCCGCCCGTGTCCCCGTGTCCCCCTCCAGCCAGTTCCCCGCCCCTGTCCCCTCCAGCGGGCTCCCCGCCCCGTGTCCCCCTCCAGCCGGCTCCCCACCCATGTCCCCCTCCAGTCCTCCAGCCGGCTCCCCGCCCCTGTCCCCCTCCAGCCGGCTCCCCGCCCCTGTCCCCTCCAGCCAGCTCCCCACCCATGTCCCCCTCCAGCCAGCTCCCTCCCTGCCGGGCGCCCGCACTCACCCTCCCCAGCCAGAGAACTGTCATGGCTGTGTGTGCCCGCAGCAGCCCGGGAGGGGCCCATCCAGGGCACAGACCAAGGCATTCAGGTGGGAAGCAGGGGCTGGGCCCCGAGTGGTGGAGGGTGTCCAAGGGGCAGGATCATGATAACATCACTTCCCTCCCAGGCCAGAGAAGGGAGGGTGAGGGAGCGCGGGTGCAGACACGAGGTCATGGGGTCGGCTCTAGAGCAGAGCCAAGGCTGCATGTGTGGACGTGTTCATTCTCTCACTTCTCCAAAGGCTCCATTTCACAGGTGGGGAAACTGAGCAGAGACAACAGACTTGCCAAGCCCACACATTGAGCACTCACCAAGGTCGGAATCCAGGCCACAGCGGCCTCTGAGCCCCTTAAACTGTTGCTCTTGGCAGTGACTAAAATCCCGCCATAAACAATATCGTCCCTCATATAAAACGAGGTGTCTCTGAGTATTGGTTAAAACCTCCTGCTCTGAAAACAGCCTGTTTGCAACCTCACGTCCCATCTCCTTTGGCTTTTGTTATTGAAGTAGATCCTTCCCCCTTTTCTCTGCCCAGCAAACTCCTATTCATCCTTCAAAGCCCCAGCCCCAGGACCACTTCCTCTGTGAGATCGGAACCCTGGCAATGACAGTTTTTCAAACAGCTCTCCATCTTGTAGTTTATGCCTCTGGGCATCCCTTAGACTGGTGGCTGGGGACAGACTCATCTCCGTGTCCCTAACTCTGCCTGGCACAGGTCTGATATAGAGGAAGAGAGGAAGGGCTGCTGGAGCAGGAGAGGGGGGACGCCGAGGGTTCAAGGGGGGCCAGGTTCAAGGAACTGTGCCAGGGTCCCCCTGGAGGGACTTCCCCTCCCCCTAGGCTGGCTCTTACCTGCATCACTGGCACACGGGTAATGGTAGGTGTGGGTGCATCCTTTGTGGCAGCACCCAATGGTCGCCCCGGCTTCTTGGCAGCTGGAACAAGTCTGTGAGCAAAGAAAAGACGGGTAAGTGTGCCACTGAGGGGCTGGGCAGGGGCTTCACAGAGAGGCCCTGCCCGGTCCCCTCCTTCCCACAAAGTGGTCCCTGAAAACCAGCTGGAAGGAGGCTCAGAATGAGGTGCAAATGCCCCCAGGATGAGGCATGCCAGCCCCCGCATGCTGCCCTGGCGGGGAGCCCTTTGGGCGGGAGGAGTGGCTGCTGGTGGACCAGGGCGTGGATCCCAGCTCTGCAGTCTGCGCTGACTTGAAGCCACGCCCGCTCGTGCCTCCCACAGGGATGGGCACGGACACTACGTGAGAGTGTGTGCCCCGCGGATGACAAGGCCTCCTGGTGCCCACCCTGGGTCTCAGACCGTGGTCTGCTGAGCGGGGGTACCCGCACCTGCTCCAGCCTGGACCGAAACAGCCAGGACAGGATGACAAGGCCAGGTGGCCCTTGGACACGGGACGCAAACCCTGGGGTGGGGAGGGCAGGTGGGCCCCAAACCATGCAGCCTAGAGGACGCTCAGGTAGAGGCAGAGGGCGGAGGCACCGAAGGTGCCAGGCCAGGGACAAGCACCCGCAGCCACGACGCGCCAGGCATGCTGGGAAGCCACCTCCTAACCACCTTCTGAAGTGGGTGTTACTGTTTTTTCACCCCGGTTACCAAGGAGAGCTCAGAGAGGCTGAGTAACTGGCCTGAGGGCACACAGCCCATGAACAGCTGGGTTGGGTTTTGAGCCCTGCAACTGGGTGCTGGTGAACCCCACCCCACACTGCTGGGTGGGGCCAGGACTGGGGGAGACCCCCCCCCAGCGGGGAGAAAGGCAGAGATGAAGTCTTCTCCCATCCTTCACAGACCTAGCCTGAGAAATGCCTGGCAGCTTCCTCTGCAGCAAGTGGGGGGTAGGGAGGGGCGGAGGGGGCAGGGTACACTCGGGGACATGGGGTTCACATGGTACCTCTGAACAGGCAGCTGCCTTCTGGTCAGGCTGAGACCTCCTGGGCTCTGCGGCCCCATGTCTCCCACCCCAATTCCTAGCCCGAAAAGGGGAGAGGGAGCAGGAGTGGAGGCCCCAGACCAGGCCTGTGTCCAGCCCATGAGAAGCCCTCGGGTACCTGATCGCAGAAGGGTAGTCACCAGGGGCTCTTTGGGGTGACAGCCCCTCTCGCTGCACTGAGGTTCCCCAAAACCCTGAGAAGTTGCAGATGTAAAGAAATGGGGGTGCAGGGCTCTGACCCCCTGCTAAGAGGGGTGTGGCTCATGAACCTGCTCAGGGATCCACCGCCAGGCCTCAGAGGAGGAGGCTGGTCCGCCGTCCCGGGCATGGCTGGACTCCGGGCAGACGGGCGGACAGGTCCCAGGAGGCGGGCATGGCAGGGCTCGGGACAGCAGGTTTGAGTGGGGCTCCCAGGAGGAGACATAGAAGAAGGGTGTTCGTGGACCCACTTTCCTCCAGAGAGAAGTGGGGTTCACGCACTGGGTTGGATGGGGTGTGGGCTGGGAGCCTGGTGCAGCTGGGGAGGGCAGGCCATCTACACAGACCCCCAATCTGCTAACGGGAGTGACATCTGAGGCTCACAGGGTGGTTCTTTGCCTGGGGTCCCAGAACCCACCCCAGCAGGGCCCAGGACCATCTCTGGCAGGGACGCCCTTTGGGTCCCATCTGAGCAGCTTCAGGGGGGCAGGGAGATGCTGTTGGCTGGTGTGGGGGGGGCTGGCTGAGCACCGGGCGAGGCCTCAGGAGCCGGCTCTGAGCAGCGGGGGCGGGGCAGCTGCCCACTGGGGCCAGGATGTGCGGGCTGGTGTCATTTCCAAGGACAGGAGTGACTTGAACCTGCTTCAGGATTGATGACCAGGGACAGCAGGAAGGAGGGAATAATGACTGAGGGGAAGAGGGCAGCACGCCAGGGCCCGGAAAAGTGGCAGATGCCCTACCTGTGGGGGCCAGGTTCCCTAGGTCAGGACGGAGACTGTGGGCAGGACCCCTGGGCATGGAGACGTCTCTACGTGTCCCCTGCAGCGGGCTGGGTACAGGAGCCACAGGGGCCCTGGCAGCCACCCACCCGCAGCGGCCACGGCCAGTCTGTGGCTGGGCGGGGCTGGGGTAGCCAAGGAGCAGGGCACAGGCCATGGGGGGCGGGGCAGTGCCCGTGTCCCTCTGTGAGACCACGGGCCGCCGGCAGCCGAGCTCGGGCCTCAGAGAGAACGCTGCCCCGTGCCCCGCCCAAGTGCCTCCTGGCACCCCGCAGAGGGGGGAATGAGGACAGCCCAGCAGTGACCGAGTGGAGTCACTGGGGGGTGACATGCCCTGTCCTGTCACCAGCTCTGGACCCGAAACATCAACGGCACAGGCAGGTCTCGGTGACTTCCACAGCCATCGCCCTGAGCCCGCCCGCGAGCTGGAGCTCCCCGGCCCCCCAGAGACGAGGAGATGGACAGATGGCCAGGGGGGCGCTGGCACCTGAACCAAGACATCGCCAAGGGGCCCCGCAGGACCGCCCAGGAGAGGCCCCTGACCACCCCGCCTGAGGGCTCTGCCGTCCCGGGGCTTGTCCCCAGTCCCTGCCCAGCTCCATCTCAGGGGACTCGAGCTAGGGTAGCCTGCTTCTGTGGGGCACCCTGACATTCAGTTCTAGGGAGCCTCTCGTCCTCTGGGCCTCAGATCTCGGCTGATGACATGAGCAGACAGGGCCAGGTGGGCCTGGAGCTGGAAGATGCCAGGTGTGTACGGTGGGCACCGGTTTGGGAGGCGCCAGGGGACCCGAGTGGAAGCCTGGGACAGGGCTGGGTGAGTATATTCTGTCTCAACCTGGGGTGTGTTTCAACTGCCCCCAAGATCCTCAGACATTAACTTGTCACTATGGTATGTGGGGTCCAAACCGTTGTGCTGGAGGTGCAAGGGGCTCCCTGCCCAGCCGCCCGCCCACCCGCCAGTCCTGCGGCACCGGAGCCCCCGCCCCGGCGGGGCTGGCCTCTTACCATGTCCAAGGCCACTTTCATGGCCTCCTGCAGCCCAAAGAGCTTTCCGGCCACGAGGTAGACCCCACCGGTCCACACCGCGCAGGCCTCGTGCACCCAGTGCTCCTGGGTGTCCCCGCCGGGCTCTGCGGGCGCCCCCTTGTCACACTCGTGCTTGCGGGTCTTGTCAGCGGCGGGGGCCGCTTCCTCGCCGCCGTCCCCTCGGCCGTCGCAGCAGTAGCAGCTCTGCAGCCGCCGGGACAGACCCCGGGCACTGGTGCGCAGAGAGCCCGAGCCCGGCTTGGCCGGGTCGGCCGGGCCCTCTGGCCGGGGGGGCTTTCCGGTGGCGGCGGCTGCACACTCGAGGCCCTTGAGTGTTCTCTCGGGGGGCAGCGAGGCCTCCTCGCAGGGGCCCTCCGGCCGCGCCTTCTCCTTGAGTTTTGGCTTCTTTTTGGGGAGGCAGTGTTCAGGGTAGTAAGGTCCACAGAGGTCCCCGAGGTCCTTGAAGTTGGACGGGTTTTGGCAGAGGCAGCAAACAAGGCAAGAGGTACTCAGGGCCTTGGAAACCACGGGCCCCAGGTGCATGGTGGAGGAGAGGGGCAGAGAGGGCCGGGGCTGCAGGACAGAACCTCCAGGGAGTGTGGCCAGAGAGGCCCCCGCGGCATCTAGGGAGGATGAGGAGGAGGACGAAGATGAGGAGGCAGAGGAGGCGGGTTTCCGGTGGGGCTTGGGCTCCTCCCCCGGGGAGTTGACAACAGTGCATACGGTGGTGAGCGCATCTCGCTTCTCAACCCGCACGAAGGGCGAGAAGGCTGGGGTGCGGCTGTCTGCTCGGAGCCGCTTGCACGAGGAAATGTACTTGAGGCGGATTTCAGGCTCTGCGGGATCCAGGGGTAGCACTTGCTGCTGCCTCCTCCGCTTGGCACGCCCCCTGCAGGGGGAGGAGCTGGTATTCTTGGCCCGGCCCCGAGCAAGGCGCTTTCGCTTGGAATAGCTGCTGTAGTTGGCGTGGCCGGGCTGCTTCTGTGCCCGCATCTGGGGCTGGCAGGACCTGCCCTCGGGGGGCTGGGGGGTCAGGCCCAGCTCCTCCATCTTTGGCTTCTTACTTCCTCCACCAGAGCTGTCCTCACCGCCACCCTGCATGGTGTTGGCCCTGTCTCGGGGAGTCAAGAGCAGAGCAGGGCCTAGATGGGGCTGCTTCTCCAGGGGACCTTTGGGGAGTCCTAGGGCCCCAGCTCTGCCCTTCCGGCTCCTTTTCTTCGGCACCAGGACAGTCCTCCCAGGTGGCAGGGCCTCTGGGGACATGAAGTCCTCAGTTTTGAAACAGTCATTCGAGGACAATTTCTTATTGTTTATGAGTTTGCCTTTTAAGGATCTGTTGGCTGCACTTCTGCAGAACGGGTCGGTCCCTGAAGCGGCCAGGAACTTCTGCCCGGTGCCCACATTCAGGAGACCTTCTGCCCCCACAGGGCTGCCCCTGGCACTCTTGAGCCCACGGTCCTTCTCTGAGAGGGTGGGGCTCAGCGGGTTTCCAGGAGTGGGCCCCGGCGCTTTGCACGCGAACTTCTTCAGGCTGGGCGAGGTGATCTTCTGCACGATGGCCTCCAGCTTCAGGCCCCGGCCCTTCCGAGGCGGCAGCACCTTGGTCTTCATGGCCCCCTGGAAGGCCACCCGTGAGGCCAGCTTGAGACAGGAGTCAGGGGTGTCTGGGGAGAGGGGCTTCGAGGCGGGCTCGCTACTGCCCTTGGCAGGCTTGGCTTTCTTGGGAGAAGACATCCTTTTGAAGAGGGTGGGGGAACCCTCGGCCGGCTCCTCCTTCACGTCCCCTCGGCTGCTCCGTAAGACCAGGTTCCGCTTCTTGGTGGGGACCGGTGCCATGAAGGCTGACTTCCTTTTGAGTGTGTGGAGGGGCCGATCAGGAAGCTTGCTGCCTGCACTGGGCTTCGGGACCCTGGCCCGCTGGCTGGCCCTGCCCTCCTTCGGGGAACTGCCAGGGACCTTGAACGGGGCAGGCAAGTGGTTGATGGTAAGGGGCTTCTTGGCGGTGCGGCAGCTGGGGACCCGGCTCTCCGAGGGCCGCCGCCGCTTGCAGGGGAAGACCTCCTGGGTTTTGGTGCGGGACCGAAGGATCATAGAGCGCTGGTCCCTGCCGGGCGTGCTGGGCGAGTCTGTCTCCTTGGTCTTGGAGCCCATGGGGCTGCTGTCGGAGGCCACGGGCAGGGCTGCAGGGTTACTGGGGCTGGATGCCGCCTTGGGGGAGGGCTTTCCCACCCGCTTGCCAGACTTGAAGGCAGCCCGCTGCTTGCCCCCCAGTTTATCTGGGGGGGCAGGGGTGGTGGTCAGTCCTGGGGGTCCGGGTGTTCGGGGCTCACTCAGGGCTGTGAAGGAGCGGGTGCACATCCTGGGGAGCCCTTCTGAGGCGCCCCGGCCTGGGGTCCCTGCCCCTTCCATCTGTCCCTGGGGGGGCCCTGTGCAGGACTCTGGGAGCAGGAAGTCTTTGGGCAGAACGGGCGCCCGGCATGGGGAGTCCTCGGCCTCAGGAAGGCCCCGGTGTACCCGTCTGCTCCGTAAGCTTTTGCCGCGCGGTACAGGTTCTTTCTTAGCGATGGGAGCCTCGGGAACCGCAGGCTTGTTTGGCTTCTGCACCAAGGCGGCCTCCGGGGCCAGGGTGCTGGGGTCCCCTGGAGCCAATGCCCCACTGGGCCCTTCTTCCCCGGGGTCCATGTGGGACAAGGAGGACTCAAACCAGCTCTGGACCTTGGACTCGGTGCCAACGGTGGGGCCCAGCAAGAGGACGGAGCCCCCCGAGAGGTGGCATGGGGAGCCCCAGCCGGCCTTGGGGTCCAGCACCCCTTCCACCTCCTCCTTGGTGCACATCAGCGGAGCCTTCGGCGACAGGGGGTCCAAGCTGGGCCTCTGCTCGGGGCTGCCCAGCAGCTCACACAGGGAGGAGTACTCCTCGGCCTCCAGGTCCTCCTTCCGGCCGGAGGGCGGCAGCAGCGGGAGGTCCCCGAAGTCCGCAGCCGAGCAGCAGTGTCTCCCGTCCTCCAGCCAGGCGTCGGCTTTGCCCACCTCGGGGCACTGCAGCAGCCCGCCAGCCTCCTCCTTCACCCCGCCCACCTCCTCCTGCTTGGAGTCCTGGGCCTTCTCCCCAGGGGGCGCCTCCTCCTGGAAGCCCAGGCAGGCGGACGCCTCGTGGGCGCTGTCCTTGCCCATGCCGTCCGCGGCCTTCCCACCCTGCTCCAGACCTTTGGTGAGCTCGCTGGGGTGCAGCCCCCACCGAGGACAGGCGTCCCCCAGGTTCTCCTCGGGCCAGGAGAAGGGGTTGGCGCTGTCTGCAGAGCCGGCGGTGGTGGTATCCGGGAAGCAGTCAAAAGCTGCTGTGGGGGGGTCCGAAGGGGCAGCCCCAAGGGCGGACCTGGGGCCGAAGGAGAGGGGCCCAGGGGTCTTCTTCAGGTCCGGGGTGACAAAGCCCACAGCTGGGTCTTCGAACAGCCCTGGGCTGACGTCCTTGGCGCTGCCTCCCTCGTCCAGCTGTAAGGATGTCGGCAGGGCCTCGGGCGCCCCGGGCCGGGGCCACGCGCCCTTGGCCATGGAGTCCAGGCAGGCGCTGTGGTTCTCCAGCGCGAAGGGCGGCTTGCCGGCGTCCTTGGCGAGGCCGGGCGCCTCGGCCCAGGCCTTGTCGGCCTTGTCGCCCATGGCCTCCTGCAGGCCCAGGATCTCGGAGGCCAGGTCCTCCTGCGCCAGGGCGCTGAGCAGCAGCCGCGGGCAGTCCTGCTCGCCCGCCACGAACTTGGAGAAGCTGTCGAGCGGCAAGCCGCCGTGCAGGCTGTGGAAGGAGTCGTCGGACTTGGTGGACATGTCGTCCGGCGAGGTCACTGAGCAGGTGGACACGGACTCGGGCTTGGCCTTGGAGGTGCTGTTGACCCTGGCAGGGCTGCCGCGGGCCTGGCTGCAGTAGAGGAAGCCACGCTCCAGTGGGTCCTCGGAGCCGCTCAGGTAGTCGGTCTCCGGAGGCTCGTGGCTGGACTGCGGCGTGCCCACCTGCTCGGCCGAGTAGCCGCCGCCCTCGGGGCTGCAGCGCTGGCTCTTGTGCTGCTCGGGGGTCCTGGACACCAGGTTCTTGACGCCCTTCCGCTGGGGCATGGCTGCCTTGGAGAGCAGCAGCTGCTGCACGGTGGTGGAGATGTTCTCCACCTGCGAGGTCAGGGCGGTGAGGCTCTGCAGGCTGAGGTCAGACAGCAGGCTCTCGGGCAGCTTGTCCTTCGGCAGCGTCTTGCAGTTGCTGGCCTGGGCGTCCACGGAGCTGGTGGCGTCCGTCGGGGACGGGTTCAGCAGGGGCATGAAGTGGCTGTGGTCGGTGATGCCGGCGGCAGGGAAGGCCCCGGTGCTGAGCGGCTGCTGGTTGTAGGGGAAGCTCTCGAGGTTCGGCATCAGGGGTGACGGGGTGGAGCTGTAGGATGGGGAGCGGCCCATGGAGCGGGCGGGTGAGTGGCTGGAGCTGGGGCTGAAGGTCTGGTAGTACTGCTCCGGGGTCCTGATGGCCGTGTCTGGCTGGCAGTAGCCCGGGCCTTGCTGCCCGTAGTGTTGGTACTTGGCAAGGTTTTGGTAATGGAGGGTTTCCTGGGCGTGGTGTCGGCTCTGAAGGGCTTGTTGCTGCTGCTGCTGCTGCTGCTGCTGCTGCTGCTGCTGCTGCTTCTGGGTGTAGCTGAGGCGGCCAGACGGGTAGGCATGGAGGTTCTGCACGCCCTGCCCGGAGCCCAGGCTGGCGCTGGCCGTCAGCGACCTGTCGTGGGGCTGGGGCTGGGCAGCCGGCGCTGTGCAGCTCTTGTAGGGGTGGGCGGCCTGCCCGCCACCCTGGCCAGCGGCTGCGTAGGTGGAGGATGGGGGGAAGGACTGCGACTGCTGGGCGAAGTGGCTGGCCTGCGGAAAGGGCAGGGCCGAGGCCACGTCGTTCTGCAGCTTCTGCCTCTGCAGCTTGGCATAGGCCAGCGGCTGCGGGGGCTGGGGCTGGGCGTGCAGGGGGTGAGCCCGGAAGGGCAGCTGGGCACCCTGCTCGGGGTACTGCCTGCCCGGGGGCACCGCGGTCTTTTTCATCAGGTTCTCCTCGTATTTGCCCACCCCCCCTGGCAGGGGCTGTGGCTGGGGGGTTGGCGGCTGGGGGGCCCCCCAGGCCTGCAGGCTCTCCTCGCTGGCATAGCGGCCTGGGTAAGGGCTGCTGTCCTGGACGCCGTAGCCGGAGAACACCGGCCGCCCCTGCAGGGCCTGCTGTGCCGGCAGCCCCTTGCCGCCGCGGGCAGTGCCACCAGGAGCGCCCACACTGCCCTCGTAGCCCGCGTAGGGCTGTGGGCTGTAGTAGTCCTTGGCCAGCAGCCTCTGCCGATCACAGCTCAGCCCGGCCTGGCTCGGCTGCCTGTAATTCTCCAGGCGCGAGGTGTCCTGTGAGGTCTGCTGGTAGTTCTGCTGCTTGCCATGGAAACCACACCTTTCTCGAAAAGACTGCATGACTCGGGCTGGTTATCTGTGAAGAGAGGAGGGGGACAGGGAGCAGGGGCGGGTACGAAAGGGGCAGAGGGAGAGTGATTCAGATGGGCCGTCTCCTTTTACCCCAGAAAACCTGCCGCCCCCCTCACCCCGCCCTGCCCTCTCCCCATAACTCCCTCTGCCCGGGCGCCCCCGCAGCTGAGCACACTGACAGCTTCTGTGGTGGGGAGGGACGCTCTGTGACTCCCACCGACATCACCCCGCAGCCGAGCCCTGACACCCAGATGCCCAACGCTCCAGGCCACCCGGTGAGACCACCCTCCCTCCCCTGGCCGGCTCTCCAGCTCTCCCCATCCGGCCACCCCAAGCCCTTTCCTGACAGCTCAAAACCATTCAGCACAGCAATTCCCGCTCCCCTGTCCCCCGGGGCCGCTGGATCCTGTGATCTCGGCCCAGCTCGGCAGTGCAGCACGACCCAGGCCAGCCTGAGGACGGAAAGGGCTCGCCCAGGCCCTGGGCTGCTCTTGGCCTGCGGCACACGCCCGCTGCTGCCCCGGACCCCTCTGCTCCTCCCAGCCCACGCGAGCAGGGACGCGGGGGGCGTGAACATCCCTCGGACTCCCAGAAGCGCAGGGTGGCACCCCCCACCTCGTTTTTGATGTCGTAGGTGCTGAAGCAGACCGCTGGCCCCGTGAGGGAGGGCCTGCTGACGGAGCCCCCACCCCCGGTGGCCCTCCTGGCAGCCCCTAAGGCCTCCACAGGGTCAGGCCCAGGTCATGAGCCCATCTGTTTGTGATTTTAGGGGCTGGGGTCTAACCTACCCCGGGGCAGAGCGACGACTCACAAAGCGGCCGCCTCAGCATCCAGGCTGTAGATTCTCCCAGCTGGCCGAGGGCCTGGTCACCCCAAAAGGCTCAGGATTTACCCACAGCCAGGGCTGGGGTCGGGGATGGGGGACAGAGAGACCAGGACTCAGCCATGCCTGCACCCCCAGGCCCCCAGGACAGCACTGGGGCGCCGGCCGTGGCTACAAGATTCCAGGGCTGCAGGACAGACCCGCACGACATCAGGGGACACCGGCAAGACAGACGGACACACAGATGTGAGAAGGGAAAGGAGACAGAAAGCCACATGGAAGGACAGAGGGAGGGACTGCCCCCAAGAGGTCCAGCTCACCCCTCTTTTTTGCCAGGATCCCACCCAGACACTCCGTGTTGGGGGCTGGCTGGAGAGGGGAGCAGAGGGGGGCTTTAGCAGGGCAGCCACACGGCCCCCAAGGTCCACCTCCCTGTCCCCCAGGCCAGCTCCCCTCCCGCCCCTCCCGGATTCTCCTCAAGCATTCCCGGCAACGGGAGCCCTGCCCGCCCTCTGGCCCACTTCAACCCCAGCTCTGCCGGCTCAGATCATCCACAGGAGGTGCGTGTGACACGCCAGCCCAGAGGAGCTGCGGGTGGACAGCCCTGCGCCTCCTGACCCGCCCACCAGACCCCACAGGGCTGCCCAGGCAGGGCCCCTTCGCCCCAGCAGGCGTGCCCACACCTGGGCCAGCAGGTGGAGGCACCCCTGCTCAGGACAGAGCACCCCCTAGCCGCTGACTCCGCCACCCACGGCCCGCTGCCCACGCGAGTTTACAGCCAGGAAGGCCACACCCGGGCCCACTCTGAGGGCTGCGCCTCGCGGAGCTGCACGAATTATGTTCCAGCTTCTATCAGTCGGGTCGCCCTCCGCTCCCGCTGAGCGTCCTGTGGATATCATTAACGTTTCGGCAGCTCTCTTTTTTCACATTCTCCAAACGCATTACCCAGAAACATTATTTAAAAAGGGAAAGTGCGAGGACCGGTGTCCGGCCCCTCCCCCAGCTTTAATCAGTCCAGCTGCTGTGTCTTTTAATTTAGCCGAGCTGGACGGCAGGCGGGTTTCCCAGCACACACACACAAGCAGCGGGATGTGGTGAGAGCATCTATCTCTAAGAAGAGACAGTTCAATTAAAATACGAAAGGCCCGGCGCCTGATGGAGCAGCAGCCAAAACCCTCGCCGGCACCAACCTCCACCGAGGGGCAGGGAGGAGGAACAAAGGCATGCCATCAAAGGCCCACTCAGGGGCAGCCGCTCTGCCAGCAGAAAACAGGGCTCTGTGTCTTTAAGAGCGGCCATGGGCACCGTCATTAATTATTATGATTATGATTACTTTTCAAGAACACCAGGAAAAGACAAGGAAAGAGGCAGGCAGAGGGGCTGGGGGGGGGGCGGCATCATGGGGAGGGGGCAGAAAGAGGTCCCCCTGGCAGAAAAATGGTGACCTTTGAACTTGGGGAGGGGAGAGGGGCAGACTGGGGATTTGACCTCCGCGGGTTATGCCGAAGGGAGAACGGTCGGAGTCGGGGTGGGCACCCTAACACTCCTCACAGGTCTCCTGCCAGCCCAGCTTCCCCACCTGCCTCTTCTCCCAGACACAGGGTCAAGGCCTGTCTCTGAAGGTCTGGGCACCCGGGCTGGAGGAAGGAAGGAGGGACAGGAGGAAGTCCGTCCTGCAGACGCCGTGCACTCCCGACAGCTCCTGGGAATGGCCTTCCCAGGCACTGGTCCAGGAAGCAGCCGGGCTCAGGAACAGGCACTGGAGGCTGGTTCAGGGCCCCGCCTGGCATCCAAGGCCCAGGAGCTCCCTGAGCACAGCTGTGGGTCTCACTGCAACCCCCCCCCCCCCCAGCCATAAACTGGGCGGGGAGTGGAGAGCTGGGACGGGGTCAGACCCCACTCCGCCACAATGCAAGGCAAGCAGTCCCCAAGGGCCTTTGGCAGCTGAACGTGGCCTCAGCCGCTCTCTCAGGCAAACCCCAGCCCTCTCCCTGTCCCCCCAGAGTGAGGGGCGCCCTTGGCTGCGAATGGCCACACTGCTCAGTGAATGGCCACAGTCCTGCCCTTCACAGAACAAGGCGAGCCAGCCGTGTGCCCCATGGACTGAGAGGTCCCGGTTCCACTCCCAGGCAGGGCACAGGCCCGGGTTGCGGGCTCGATCCCCACGAGGGGGTGTGCAGGAGGCAGCTGATCGATGTTTCTAACCTCTCTCCCTCTGTAAAAAAAAAAAAAACACGTGAGATTAGCCTCTTGCACATGAGTCCCTGGGGAAGACCTCTTCACTGGGTGCCTCCAGCAGGAGCAGTGACCAGACCAAGGACAGACGCCCTCACCTGCACCCCACACCAGGAATTCCCATTTTAGGGCGGCATCTCACGAGCCCCACAGCAAGGGTGCTGCAAGGAGAGGCAATGGGTGCTGGCAGCTGACATTTCCCAGGTCCCCCTGCGACCCAGAAGGCCCGACAGCCAGGCCAGGCCCCACGTTGACTGGAGGAACAGACCCACCGTAGGGAGGTCCACCTATGGGCAATGGGGGCACCTGCGGTCACCATGGCAGCCTCAGGGAGGCTGTGCCCACAGCCTCTCCAGACCCCGTCAGGAAGCTGGGTGTGAGCTGGAGCAGCCGCAGCCCGACCGAGGACGCTGTCGGGGCCCAGCCAGGCGCCGTGGCCAGGCCCTTTCCTGAGACACAGGGAGTGGTGGGGGCCAGATAGGGCAAAGGGAGGGGAGGACAGCAAGGGGGAGAAGGAAGAGGGGAAAAGGCAGGAGGAGGCAGAGAGAGAGGAAGATTGGGGGGGGGCTTCTGCTCCCTGCTTCCTGATTTGTAGCTGCAGGAAAAATATTTTTAAACCCAACCCATTCAAGGCCTGGGAACAGGAAGGGGGAAGTCACCTGAGTCAGGAAGCTGGGGCTGGGGCTGGGGGTGTCTTAGGAGGCGCTGAGCCGGGCCCACAGGTGATGAGCACCAAGTACGAGGCCTCCCCTAAGATGGCATATCCTTAGCCACATGTACAGTGTTTTGAACCCTAAAGGCCTGGTTTGAGTGGGGGAGGGAGAGCTTCCAAGGAGCCTGCAAGACACACAGCCCAGACCCACAGGCCTCTGGGACAGGCGGGGTCTTTGGGCCAGAGGCTCCTGAAGGGGCAGGAACCAGAGCTCGGAGCCCTGCTTGAGGTGGAGGAAGAGCCGTCCTGGGGCATCAGGACTCCCAGAGAAAAGGCAGCCCCACTTCCAGGCTTCTGGAGACCATCCCCGTGAGCAACACACTTGGAGAGCACCCCCTCCTCGGGCCCACCCAGGCTCACTCACGGGTCCAACAACCACTGCAAGGCCAGCAGGCAGGCGGGGGGAGGGCCACCACCCCAGCACTCTCTCCAGATGTCCAGGTTGGGGACCCCAGGTGAGCTGGCATCTCGGGGTTCTTTGGAGGATATCTGAGTGAGGAGCAGAGGCTGCTGGTGTTGTCAGATGACAGGGCCTCCCCATGACATCTCCAGACCTGGAGGCAGCAGAGACCTCGGGCTCCCTCAGGTCTAATTCACCAAGAGGACCCTCCTGGTCCTTCACGGCTCATCGGGGCACCGCTTGCTGGGTGATGCTGTGTCAGGGGTCAGCAACGTGCCGAGTTCCCACCGCACAGGGGCTGGGCAGCAGAACTGACATCTAACTTCTACGGAACTGAGCTTGCTCACCCCCATGGGGCCCTCTGGGATGCAGGGATCAACAAGTCGGGGGCCTGAGCCACAGGCCAGAGGTGCCCGGCCCCCCCTGCTATGAAGTGCTGGGTCGAGGGCGGGGCTCCCCTATTATCAGCCCAGACAGATCAAGCTCTTGTGGACATAACTGTTTTCAGATTATTCGACAGAAACATCACCCCTCTGCCCATCTCTGTCAAAATGAGCTAAAGGCCCTGGTTGGTTTGGCTCAGCAGTTAGAGTGCCGACCTGCAGACCAGGAGAGACCCAAGTTCGGTTCCTGCTAAAGGCATGTACCTCGGTTGTGAGTTGTGTGGGTGGCAGCCAGTCGATGTGTGTCTCTCTCTCTTCCTCCATCCCGCTCTATCTGAAGATAAATGCAAAAACGTCCTCAGGTGAGGAAAAAAAAAAATGAGCTAAAGAACAGAAGTGGGGGTGGGACCAACTGCCTGAAGGCAGACAGCTAAGGCTGGGGGTCTGGCCG